GATATTTATTGACCCGAATAGTGAGTCCTCCTGTAGATGAGATGAGCCGTGCACTGCTTTTGGAAGGGCTGAAAGCTGAAATCTGTTCTACCAGGAGAAGGGGTGTGTGTGTGTGTGTGTGTGTGTGTGTGTGTGTGTGTGTGTGTGTGTGTGTGTGTGTGTGTGTGTGTGTGTGTGTGTGTGTGTGTGTGGCTCTATTTGAACTAACTATGCTGGAGGCAAGAAAAACTAATCGGTAGGACAGTGACAATATGGAAAGAGCCATGTGACCTGCTCACTCCCAAGGCTAAATCAACACCTCGTCAACACAGTAATGGTAAGAGCAAAAAACAAATGTCATTTGCCATAGGAGGAAATGATACTCCCAAGATAGTATAGGTTCTAGAAAGTCAAGGTGGGGAACTGTCAGCAACAACACACCAGAAGGACCATCATGGAAGTCAGTTACTTGTGTCTAGTGTTGTTGGAAACAAGACGGAGCTTCTACACCTGCCTGAAGTATATCTTCAAAGGTGCCTTGAATGGAAATCTAGGAACTTATGAAGATGCAGCTCAGGTTTTTATTCTTAGGGAATATAATGGTGAAGAGAGAAATGCCAACCAACCTACCTCAACAGATGAAAATTAAGAAGTCAGTACTAAAACAGTGGCCAAAACTAAAACCAAACCTCTCTAACTAATGTGACCACAGTGGTAAGCAGCAACCTCAAGCAGAAAAGTTCTTGTGTAAGTCCTGTTGTCTTGAATTACTTGTTGAGAGCTACATAGTCAACCTACATTAACATAAACCTAGTGAGGGAGCAAAGAAGTTGGAGATGGAGCAGTGTCCTAAGAAGTGTAATATATAAATCTAATTGTTGCTATTGGTGACTAAAGACTAGCCTTCTCCATGCTTAAAGAAAATTCTCCTTGTGAAGCCACAGGGAGTTTCCTAGAAAGAGAGCAAGTTGATACTGCTTGCCTGTGGAAGCATACCACACTAACACCTCTGGATCCTGAAGTTCACCAAAGGGCTCCAACAAAAGCAGCTTGCCTTTATTTCTTCTCTATCGATACACAAATACAAATACTAACTCAGAAAACAAGCTTCAATGGAGGGTTATCTACCAGGAGACTTTGAACATTTAAGTCACATGTACTTGACCAAAACCCTTTCAAATTCATCTGAAGTCTTAATTCACACAAGTCCTTGGGAAGAATCAGTCACAATCCTACATTATTCACAATACTAATAAGTATCACTTTGTTACTTGATTTTAAACCTTTTTGTATCCTATTGGGAAGTACTGACAACCTTAATGAAGATTTCCAAAATGCTTGACATGCTTGATTAATTTAAGATAATCTCTTGCACCTTAGAAATAAAAACCATCTAGGTTCTAACACACAACTACTCATAAGCCAGTAAAAATGTACCCTACAACTGAAAATACTCTATTGTTAAAACTTGCCATTAAAGCTTACTCGGTTGGGACTGTCAGTTTTTAGTTGGAGGCCTAACACCCGAGATGTCAAAATGAAGGAAAACAGAAGCAAGTTCTTATGTTAACAATCAGTAAGACTACAGCAATCTAAGAAATGCAAATGAACTCTATAACCCCAGTTGGGGATCAGAGCTCAACATAAGTATGGGGTAAATTTGGAGTTGACTATGGAGAGAATTTTTTTTTTTTTTTTGCCTGTCTGGGTATTTGACATCCATCCCAGAACTTAGTGGTGGGGTATTAATAAATTTGCCAAATGCAGTTAAATGCTTAATTTTCTTACAAAAACTTATCTGATACACAGGCACACAGTGTCTTTCATATAGCTTTAAAGATATTATTACTAGGGGTATAATTTGCATCAGTAGGTTATTGCAAGCATCTCTTGACTTCACGTTGGGGGAGATGTATGGAAACGAATTCAAGTATAAAACTTTTATATGATTTTACTCATAAAATCAACCTCTGAGAAATTCTACTTATAACCTCTGGCGGATCAACTTAAAACCTCAGTCTTACTAGGAAAGCTCCTAACAGTTCTGTCAACAATTTACATCCTTTAAGTATCAAGTCCAATATAACTTTTTAGACTGTTTCCATAATTTGGGGAGTGGAGGAGAGAAGGTTAAGATTCCCATTATAGACAGGTTAAGCTACTCCTAACATTTTTGCATGCCCCTAACTTAACACTTGCCTTTGGATAGATAAGCTCAGAATTTTTGCCTACTTTAAGGGAAGGGGTTAATGCACGACTCTCTTTCAGATATTGAACCGTGACCACTAAGCCCACTAAATCCTTTTATTGCAACTGGGAATGATCAAAGTCTCTCTACTTGTTTATTTCCAATTATTAACTGTAAATCTCTGGGGAAAAGATCATGCTCCATCGCTGTCAAGCCCAAATGACTGGGTAAACATAAGCAATCAACTTTTTAGTGCTCCTTTCCCAGAGCATCCTTTTACCACATGACCTAGACTGACATGTAGCAAAACCTATAAAAACCTGGTGGGCTGAGCTCATGAGTTTGAGTGTGTCCCGTAGTAGGTCGAAAAGTTGTGTAGTCTTTGCGAGGGCAAAAGAAAAAAGGGAAAAAGAAGGAAAGAGAAAGGAAATCTCCATCAAGACTACCGTATATAGTCACCATCTTCACTACATACACATATGGACATATTTTTTTTAAAAAGCTCCAAATGTGAAACGTCCACTTCCCAGTGAGCAGGTCCAAAACACGTTTGGACTCCCCCTGTCCAAGACTCCCACCAAAAAGCACCTTGAAAACTTGACCATTTCCTACAGAAATGCACAAGACCTTGGAAACAACTGGGAACCGCCATCTTACAAGCCATCCAATTTCATACAAGTGTCCCTCCAACTTAAGTTAATAACATTTTTGTCGGGGTGCCCTCCAGTCTAACACCCACCTTGGCGGGATCGCTGGCCCCCACATATCCCGTCCCTATAAAATGGGGGCGTTCCCTGGACGTTCAAACCCCTCCAGAGCCCTTTCTTCGGGAGAGGGGGTTAGCCACTTGACCCAAGCAGCTCCCGATTTCGGGAGCCCGTCCCGGTCTCATCCAAATCTACCTCTCAACAAAGGGCGCCGCGGCCGGGAGGGCTGCGGAGCCCGGAGCCGCGAGCGTCCTCCCCGCGGACCATGTGCGTCGCGAGGGTGCGGAGGGGCGCTCGGGGGAGAAAGGAACTAAAACGTGGGGCCGCGCGCGAGGCGGCGCGGCGCGGCCGGGGGAGCGGGCGGGCGGCGGCGGCGGCTGGAGCGGCGCCGAGCCCGGCTGGCGGCGGCGGCGCGGCGCGGGCTGCGGGTCGGTCCCGGCGCCGCGGGAGGCGGGAGGCGGCGGGCGGGGGCGCGCGCTCGCGGGCGCGGGGCGGCGCGGGGCCCGCGGCGGGCGGCGGGCTCGGCGCCCACGCTGTCAGCGCCTCCGGCCGGCGCGGACCGGGCGGTAAGGGGGGGGGGCGCTCCCCGTCCTCCCGCGGCCGCCCCGGACCCCCACGCGGCCCCCCGCCGCCCCCCAGCCCCGTCCCGGAGGCGCCTAGCCTCCTACGTACCCGGAAAAAGCAGCCGGCGCGAGGCGATCGAAGCGGGCGGAAAAGACAATGAAAGTTAAAAGTCGTTCAGCAGAAAATGAATGTGAGCCAAGCGGCCATCTTGAAGCGAGCTGCAGACGCCGCTGTCAATGGGCAACGAGCGCAGCCGAGAGGAGCCGCGGCCGCCGCGCTCGGCTCATGCCGCCTCCGAGCCCGGCCTCCTCCTTCTCCTCCTCCTCCTCCTCCGCGGCCTCCTCCTCCTCTGCCGCCGCCGCCGCCGCCGCCGCCTCGGCCTCCTCCTCCGCCTCCGCCTCGGCCTCCAACGCCTCCTCCTCCTCCGGGGCCTCCTCCTCCTCCTCCTCCTCCTCCTCCTCGGCCGCCGCCGCCCGCTCCGCGCTCGGGGGCGGGCGCGCGCGGAGGGGGCGCGAGCGGTATTATTCTGCGGGCCGGGGAGGTGTTTCTAATCCGGATCGGGGCTCCCTCGCCCACATCCCCATTGTCTCGCCACGATCTCTGCCTTTAATACTACGATTATTATTTCATAGTTGCCGGGGGGTGGGGGGGAGGACGGGGGCGCCTTCTGTGCGGGCGGGCGGAGAGGCGGGGGGCGGGGAGGGAGGACGAGGAGGGGGAGGGGAGGGTGGAAAAAAAAAATGCACCGCTGAAGGCAGAGTGGAAACTGACACCGGCTCCAAAATGGCTCGGAGTCCGCCCGCCCCCTCCCCCCCGCCGCCCCCCCCCCCCGCCGGGTCACGTGCTCCCCCTCATTCCTTAAGGGCGGCCTGGGAATTAGTGTCGGTGTAGTCGGGCCCGTGGCCGCCCCCTCCCCTCCGCGCCGTGCGCCCCCCCCCCCCCCCCGCGCCCCCCAGCTCTGCGCCGCGGCGGCGGCGTTGGCGCGGCCGCAGAGACATTTCTCCACAGGGCCACACGCGCCACCCTGCTCCCGGCGCGGGTATCGCTCCGACCCCGCACGGCGCGCAGACCTCCCTCCCCCCCCCCCCCCCCCCCCCCCCCGCCCCGACCGCCGTTATTTCTTTCTCCAGCCCGCCCGCCTCTTCCCGCGGCGCGCACATCCACGGGCCGACGGGGGCGCCCGGCCTCCACACCCCGCGCGGCCCCACGGGCTGCGGCCCAGACTCTGGCGCCGAACCTGCGGCCGACTCCTTGGACTCGTGGAAACAACAGCGCCCGTCCCAGCCTTCCCGCGGCCGAGGCGGGGCGCGCGCGGGCAAGCCGCTGCTCCGAGCCCGGCCGGCGGCGGGGTTCGGGCGCACGAGCCCCGCGGCGCAGGTAGCGGCCACCGCTTCGCGGCTGAGCCCGGGGTCCCCGAAGCCCGGGGTCCCCGAAGCCCCGGGGGATCGCGCCCTTCCCCCCACTCGCTCTAGCCCAGAGAAAAGGCGGGCGTTAAAAGTTAACGCTCATTCTAGCTGCCTCCGCACTCGTAAGTAATAATCAATACACAAGACTCCAAACCAAACACCGCCACCGTACTCACTCAGGGTGCAACACTTTTATTTTGTGGGACTTGACAAAGATCAAAAGAGGAGAAACAGTTAATACGAAAGGGGATTCCAATACTCCGGCAGAATTTCCCTATAACCTTTTCACGGACATTTAAAAAAAAATACCCAAGTGTTCAAACAGTGGCAGGAATGGAAGATCCCCCCCCCCCCCCAACACACACACACACAGAAGAAAAAAAAATGAGAACTTCCAGGTCGCACACACGACGGCTCGGCAGAAGGCAGGGCAGTTCTGGTTTTCTTCCAGCTTCAGCCAAGGCTTAGCTATCCCAACTCATAACTGAGTTGCTCTTTCCAGGCTTTTCGAAGCATCTTTGAGTCTCCCCACCAAGTCCTACAAATGTGCATCATGCCTGATGTTAGAATAACATGGGTAACGAAGTTTGAGAAGTTGCAAGAAAATTTAGTTAGGAGGACACTTTGCTCAGCAAATGTAAGATTCTCTAGAATTTGAAGCTTTGACAAGCCACTCTGGGTTTAAAACACCTCACCTTCAAATCAACGATGCCCACAGAATGAAACGTTGATTTCTAACTGAATCCTCCCTTTTAGGCAAGTAGTGTCTAAATTAAACATCCTAAGTTATCTACTGAATGAGTTATGCTGTATGCACATTCTCTAAACGTTCAAAGTTATATTAATAGTTGCTTCATTTGACGAAGAAATGACCATTTCTTAAAAGTTTGTTGCCATGTCCATCAAAGTAGTTTTCAATTTCCCCAGTCACAGTTAAAACCTTAAAATTTACTCCCCCTTTTTAAAAAAGTCATTTTGAACTGTTGTAAATATACATGTTCAAATTGAATCCAATTTGTGAAAGCAAAGATGTTTTCATATCCTTGCTTTTATCTTAGTGGATCAAGCTACTGTGAATTGGATGAATTCACAATAAACACTAGGCTTTAGAAGTGCATTTTAAGTAGAAGGAACCAAAAAAAATACAAACCACTAGTAACAGTAACATCTTCAGGGCAAAAATGAAGTCTACTGCTTTTCCCTTTAACTCCTTAACCTTCATTAGTTTCTTTTAAACTTTCCATAGCATAATTCTTAACATAAATGAAAAAAAGATAGGCATATTCAGAGATCCTAATACTGTACCTGCAATTGTTCCATGTTGCAACTAAAACTAATATCTGGGTAGGACCCGGAGTCAGGGTTCTAGGGGAGAAAAAGAAGGCTATTTATTTAAATCAAAGATATTTAAGATTTCATTATACACTTCAGAGGCATAAGTCATCTTATACATACCTCTATATTTAAGGTCACCAAATATGCTGGTCTGTACATCTTATGAAGTTGATTGGTCTAAAACAACACACATGCATATCAATCTCTTAACTATTATTAAAAAGTTCTCTAAAACCTTACTGAGATGTTTGGGAAACTTTACCTTTATCTGATATTCCAAGCGCCAAGAAACATCAGTTATATGAGGAAGAGATCTGCCTATACTGAAAGACACAATAATTTTGCACTTAATATCTGCAGAAAAACTACAGTATTTATCTTTACTAAAAATAGTGTCTCTCTTTCACCCCCCTATCCTTATTTTAATACATTCTGAGGATATTATTAAACTTCACTTTCATGTCTGGAAGAGTTAAAGCAATCTAAAACTATCTCAATACACTTCTGTTTAAAAACAATGGCTTAAGTGCAATAGTTTCACATGCCCTTTAGCCCTCCCCCATTGAGTCAGGATCTCAGGACTTTCTGCCCAGTAGTGTTTCACACAAACACTCACCATGCATACCTGCAAGTGTAAAGGACCTCAGTTTGACACCTTACACAGTACTTACCTCCCCAGTAGGATTTCCAAGGAATTCTTATTATTCTGTAAGAAGTAAAAAAGAGAGGAACACATCTTTGCAAAGAGAGTTGAAGAGAAGTAGTAATTGTTAATTTAAAGTTTTAAAGTAAGTAACCTGATACTCCGTGCAAAACAGTTCTATTCTCTCTCTGTCAAATTTACAGTCTTCCAGGTAAGTGCTAGAAAGGATGGAAAGCCAATGTTCAGTCTCCATGTTAAAACTGAAATTGGAATCATCATGATACTATTTGGAAATAAAAAGGATGCTTAATAAGTCCCATACCTCAGCGTGGAATTGTCAGCCCGGTGCTTTCCTGCCTCCAATATGTAAGTTGCAGCCGCCGCATGACAATACTTTAAAACCACTGGGTCAATATGTTTCAAATCTGGGTGATCTAAAATAAATTAATTTGCTAGTGATAATACATCATTCACTATCCTCTTCCTACAAAGGACATTTTAATTTGGGTAAAGCTCCTGGTACAAGAAAACAAAAAAGAATTCAATTGTAAGTAAATGAGCAACAGGTTAACTACAAAGCAATAAAGACAATGCATCAGTAATTCTGTTAATCTGTTTTCAATTTTTTATTTTTATTTTTTATTAATATTTGCTGATTTTTAAAAACAAGGCCTTCAAGAAAAAAAACTTATTAGTGATCAAACATTAGGTGAGATCAATTTTAAAAAAAAACTCTCAAAAGACACATATTTTTACATGGTGCAAATTTCAGGATAGCCTTCATTCTCAAACTCATGCCATTTTCAGGTAATTCACCCCAATGGGCACTAATACATCAGGGGAAGTGGAAGAAAGGCAAGAATTAGGGTTTAAAAGTTTCTGTTTTATATTCTATCATTATTGTCAGGTTTTGACAGCCATCCTTTTTTTTTTTTTTGAGATTAACACAGGTGGTGGTTACTATTTTCGTTTGAAGAACTTCCACTTTCATATTTTTTTGTACAAATGTCTAGTTCATGGCATTACAGGCAAGAAAAAAAAAGGTGAATTGTGGGAGTCTTTATATTTCACAAAGTTATTTAAAAGCGATCTGTCTTAAAATGTGTCCTCAATCCATATTGACCCTGCCTTCTGCAATCACGGCTCAGAGATCGCTTAGGACACTGATCTCCTAATAACTGAGGCGGAACAAAACATTATGCACCCTGTTTTAAAGTTCTAGGGCAAGCACCTGGGTAAAACATACAGGCTGGAGCGATCAGAGGAACTTGAGGTATCTCCTAAATTGGAAACTGTGAACACTTTTGTAGGTAGTCGTGACTGCGGACACTTTTCAACCCTTGCTCGCCTGGTCTTGAGAGCCTGAACTACAGGAAGCTCCCCAGATGAAGTCCAAGTGTCAAAACAGCTGCTGGCTGCGACCAGGCTGCAAACCGTGGTTGTTTAGGCCACAAATAAAGACTTGGACACGGGTTTTACAAAGGAACAAAGAGGCTGGGAGGGAAATCGGGCCAGAAACGTGTGGCTGGCACCGTGCAGGTGCCGAGGGGGGGACAGAACAATGCTCAGGGTCGGCTGGGCGTGGGGGCCGAGCTCTCAGCCCCAGCACGGCGGCGTCCGGGCAGCGCCAGGGCCCTGGGTCCCGGCCCCGGCCCCGGATCCGGCCCCGCGGCGCCCCAGCGGAGCTCGGCCTCGGCCCCGGATCCGGCCCCGCGGCGTCCCGGCAGAGCCTCGGCCCCCGCACCCCGTCCGGAGCGCAGAGCAGAGCCGGGAGACTTCCTCTTCCCGGGGCTGGCCCCTCTCGCTCGGGCTCGCGGCTCCGCGCCGCCCAGGCCCGCGCAGCCCCGGAGCCGAGTGCTTACCTAACACGGCCCCGTCCGCCTGGGCGTCCAGCAGACTCTGGAAAGCCGCCCGGAGGAGAAGCGCGAAGGCGCGGGAGTCGAAGCAGCCAGGATCCGCCAGCATCTGGAAGCCTTTCTGCACAGACTCCGAGAGCTCCATTGTGAGCGCGCCGTGACCTTCGACACGCGCACCACGTGACACGCGCCGCGCGCGCTCCGCCGAGGCGGCCGCGCGCGCACCCGGCTCCCGGCGGCAGCGGCGGCGGCGGCGGCGGCGCGGGCTCCCGGGCCTCCCTCGCCCGGGTCTCCTCGTCCCGGGCCTCCCCGCCCTCCCGCTCCTGCAGCCTCCGCGCCCCCGCCGCTTGCCCCCCCCCCCCCAGCCCACACCACCCCAAGTCTTTCCTGCTGCGAAGCCGCGGACGCGGGGCAGCAGGGCGGACCCGGACGCTGTGTGGACGCGCTCCCCGCGCCCCGTCTCCCGCTCGGTCCCCCGCAGGACCGCCCTCCACCCCCCCCACCCCACCCCGGGAGGTGGCGGGCCGTGCGGGATCCCGCCGCGCCTCCCGCGGAGCCCCCCGCAGCGCGCCCGGCCCCGCGCCCGTGCCGCGGGGGAGCACGCAGCGAGGAGAGCTGCGGTGTGTGCGTGCGTTCTTTTTCATGTTTTCTTTCTCTCTTTTCCTTTCTTCAACTCCTGGGCTTCGGTGACCTGCGGGGCTTGGGGTTCATCTCACCCTTTCTTGGTCGGGTCCCGGGTCGCGGCGCGGTGGGTGCGTGCGTGTGCGCACAGGTGCGGGGAGGGACGCGGGGGGCGGCCGCACCCCAGCGAGCGGGACCCATGCATTATTCATGAGCGCGTTTGACGGGATTATTACAACACCACTGTACGTGCCAGGGCCGATAAACACCTTTCGGGAAGCAACCTGCGATCGGCCCCGGGGCCCTCGGGGCTCGCCACGGCTGAGGGTCTCGTTGGAAGGAGCAGGATCTTCCGCGCAGGTACGGCAGACAGCCCAGCCCCAAGTGCGGAGGGGACCGGCGGGATCTCTATGGAGAGAAGTGAATTGCGGTTTGGGGGGACACCCAGACTTTCAACGATTTAAGTCCTGTATAAAGCGTTAGCTTCCTCTCTGTTTCTACGAAGTGGTTTGGAGAACACGAGTTATGAGGATGAGGATGTGTTATTGATTATTGATTTTCAGTTGCGAAGTAGGTTAGGCATCCTTGATCCCAAGAACTTGAAACAGCCAACACGGAAAGCGAAGGTCTTGAAGGATGGAGGGAAGGACCACGGAACGAGCAATGTGCTCAACTCTTCAGGAGTAAATGACCTGCAAGTCAGCTGCACCGTGAAACAACATCTTCATTGTCATAATTTAGGTGCTTATTTGGAGGGTGGAAAGGTTGTTAATGAATACAATCAACACTTACTCTTGCACCAAGATATAAAAGTAACAGCACACAAAAATGGAGTTCTTCAGCATCAGTAACAAGTTGACTAACTCTACTCGGTCCTGCTTTGAAAGTTTTGAAAAGCTGGTGTCATTCATTCCCCCTCAGTGAGAATATAGCAGTAATGAAAGCTTTAGAAGTCCCTGTAGGGTCTTTATGAAACAAACACCTATTAATCATTTCATCTTTTCTTTCCATCTCTGACTTTCCTTCTAAATTCCTTGTTTCTTTTTAGCCACTAGGAGAATGCAGTTGAAAAAAAATTTTTTTGTCAAGATGCCTGATTTATAAAGGGCATGTTTCACAAGGTAGAAGTGTTCAATGTTAAAACAATATTCACAACCACCAAGCTCATGATGTTTATTACACAAATGACTTACGATCTAGCATAAAACTGGGCGTTAATATTTTGATAGAATGAGTTGATACCTAGTCCTAGGTAATGTAGTGTCAGAAGGGGAACCATAGATATATCTGAGCTTAAGTTTTGAAATGCTATTTGAAGAGAGACAAATAAACAAAAGTGGTTGTGAGTGTGTGAGCATACAAGTTAGGAAATTCACAAGGACTGTTTCCACAATAGCTGTCACTTTACTCTCTTGATCATATGCAAATATTTCTTTTACAGGATATTTATTCATTTTTGTCTAAATATATTTATGTGTTAGGCCCAAGTGATGGGTACATTCCAGGTCACACAAAAGTTTTAAGCACAGTACTTTCTGATGTGACAAAAAACAAACCTGAATTTTCCTACTATAGGTACAGTTAGCCCAACTTCTCTTGAAAAAGACACAGGATTAAGTATGGTTATATGTAGAACATGTGTTCTTTGACAAGCCATTGGAATACAGAAGTATGATCTTTAAAAGATCTGTTTATTCAGATGTGGCCTTTCTTAGCTGTACTCACAAAATCAATGTATTTTATATTGTAAGAATAACTGTATATTTACATATTCTTGGAAAGTATGAAGAACATTATTTAAATTTTTACTTGGATCACTGAAAACACAGGTACTTTCATTAAACTTAAAATCCTACAGACTCAAAGTCAGTAATCTAAACTTGACCTCAGAGACTTTATAAAGAACAATAATGTGCAGCTAAAAGTAACAATGTCCAAACATCTTCATGATATAACACATCTTGCTTCTAAATGCAAATATTAAAGCACAATGTGCTAACCTTTTGAGATTCTAAAAGTTACTTCAAGAACTAGAAGTATCATTAAATGTATCCCTTTAGACAGTGTTAAAAGAGTTTCAAAATACATTGTATCCTTTGAGCTGCATTGGGTCTTTTCTCTCTCTCTCTCTTTTTAAAGAAAGCAACTTAATACTGGCCCCTGCTTTGTGATTACAATTAAAATAGATTGGGGATGATTATAGAATCTCTGTGAACAGTTTTTCCCATAGGCCTTCTTAATGCTACATTTGTTACTTTTATGAATTTACAGTCTTTTCCTTTTTAGAGTTCATAAATAGTTTTGTGCAAAGAAAGCTAAAAGAAGGCATTACTTTTGATTGAATTTATTAATCATCTAAAAGGAGAAAAAGACCCCAATATGCTAAGTGTCAGTAAGACATCTAAAGTTTGCCACTGTCTACAATAGAGGATATCTTTTATTCTTTCCCATCAAACACCTGCCATTTTCTAGAAAGTTTAAACACATTTCAAAGCTACTTGTACAGAAGAAAACATCTTCTATAGTCTCTACTACTGGTTTTTTAATGGTTAATAATATTAGAACTTTGAGATATTAATTGATCAAGATAAACTTTAGTGTTTCTGTAAGTTTGTTTAAGCACATCTGGAGAGTTAGAAGGAATATTAACTGCACTATAATGTCCTTTAAGAGTGTAGGTTAAAAAGCATTCTGTGAAGTTTATAAAACATCTACATGTATCTTATTAATATCTTAGTGAGGTGTAAAGTTGGGTTAGAATATGGATGGTCAGATTTTTGCTCACACGTGGTCAGAGTTCACTGGTTTCATTTGCATCTTCTGTGATCTGCATGGTCAATCACTACATTTGTTATTTAAGAGGGGACAACAAAGCTATTATTTTCAAGTTAAACATATAACCAAAATAATTTCTAAAGTTATTACTACAGTAATGAATTTGGGCAAACAGAACCTTTTTTCTCACATAGTATAGTTTAGTGTCTATAGTGGATTTAAGAATAAAACTGAAATTCTTTTCAATAGATGTTGTGTCTTAATATGTGAGGAAAAGGGAAATGTTGGTTACATTAAAGACACTGGAACCATGGGAATAAAAATCAGTGATACTACACCCCCCCCAAAAAATGAGCTTATGGTTTGCTTTCCAGACATTAGGATTAAGTATTGAATAGTTAAATTTGTTTAAAATTGTCATCATTATGAATTATTTAAAGGTTTTATTCTTCATATAGTTCTATCAGGGAAATATAAACTATGTAATAGAACTATAAGAAAAATAAAAATGTTTAAATATACATTTTAAAGGTTAAATGATCATACTACTAATAAATTAAGTTTTTATTAATAAATAAGCATTTTCTTGAAGGATGTTCATTTTGCTAACCTTTAAAAATGATAAAATTAGCAAGAATATTCTTGCATTTCTGAAGTAAATTTCTGGAACTCTCATCTTTGGTACCATGCCACAATTGTCTCAGCTAGAGGAATAATAAGATGACCATGAAATTATAGGAACATATATACATATCAAGTCATATCTTTGTATCTTTGTATCTAACCAATCTATAGTTTTAGAAAGATTTATGCATATCAAAAAAGTATGTCTTCACTTTATACCTGCAATGTAGCACTGAAATTACTTGAAGAAGCTTAATCCTTTACTATTTTAAATCAAAGTAATTATTGTTACATGAGAATATTTGAGTTGTGAAGTCTTCACCAAAAAAGTGAGGAATTGCTATGCAAAAAGGCAATGAAAATAAACAAACACAATTTGGCAAAAGATGAATGCAGTGTGTATTTAAGGTGAAGGAATTAGTAAGAAATGAGAAAGAAAACAATAGTATACAAACATTGGATGGAAAAAGAACAGGTTAGATTATGTATCTTGGAAGTTTTATACATGGACAAATATGAAACATGAATTTGCCCTTAAATTTAATGATCTAGTGTTTGCCATTTACTTATCATTTGTCCATATCATAATAAATGTGTTTAATCTGGAAATCATTTTTGTCTATCTCATCAGTGATTTGATGTGAAAATCAGGAGCTGGCCAATAAGCTAACAGATTCTGAGATTCAGATCTGATCTAAAATCTCAGATCTACCTAAATCTCAGAATCAGACTGAGATTTTAGGTAATACAGTTAGCCCTTCAAAAGCAAGTTTAAGTTTTTGTCTATTTAAATTGCAAATTTTAACATTTGACTTTCCAACACTATGGATCTGATATTAGCCAAAAGGACCCATAGCTTAGCTATAAAAGAATAAAGCAAAGCACAGACAAAGTTGAAACAAGTTTACTTTGAGAAAACTATCTAATTCTTTCTGATGTGTAGAAGACTGTCCTTTACACTGTTGATATGTTAAAGAGAAAGAAAAAAAAGAAGAGTGAGGGGAAATAAGGAAGGAAGAAGAGAAAGAACACGAAAGGTAGAAAAAAGGCAGGCTGATTTTCACAAAAAGTTTACTTATTGTTGATTTTCCTCTAACACATTCATTGCAGACAGATTCTCACTGTTAAACTGAATTCAATTGAGCTTCACAGTAAC